CATAGCATTTTGTGCTTTGACGAACTTAACTATTTTTGAAATAAACTATTTTTCAGCCGTTACTCGCGTGTAAGTAGGAAAAAACGTAAGAAAATTTTCAGCCCTCACAACGGATATCATGTACAAACAAGAAAAATTACTGTAACTCTGCTTCTGAAATTTATGAAAAGCATCAATGCATTTTGCATTAGAATGCTAAAAAGGCATTGAGTTGTTTTATATTCACGCTGTAGGGCTGAAGGAGAGCATGTCAACCCGAACAGCATGCTTGAGGACCATGAAGATGACATACATAATTTGGCGTGCAGGCTATGATGGGTCTCTAACAGGATGACCATCCCATCGCTGTGTCATAGCTGTAGAGGAAGAACAATTGCTACATATAAACTGTACAATGGGCGCTGTTCCAATGGCAGTAAAGCTAACTGTACTTTGATCGCTTGTTGATAAATTATTACCACAGTTAGGACAGAATCGAAACAATTTCAACAACATTCTTCCTTGAACCAAGTAGAACTTATCCAAAATTCTCGGCTCCACATGGAGCGAAGGGACACCATTCGCTGCTTGACTTGACGGGTTCTATAAGTTTGAAGGAAACTTTCACTTAAATTAAATGAACTTCGTGAGACCAAGCAAAGCATTCACCTCCTCACTATCATCTTCGCGGGGTGGAGAATCACATGAAGTTACATCAATCATAGGTGATAAGCATGAACCTCCTTCTGTTCCATTCTCCATGATTTTGGTTTCATCATTAGGAGGGGTGTCAACAACTTCCTGCTTGAGCTTCTTCATATGCTGTAAAAAAGGAACATCTCTACAACTTTACTTCTCTTAGTTTCAAAAATTACAAAGACGGTGAAGAATTGTTCAACCAGAAAATATCACTCAAGTCTAAAGCAAGGGTTCGTATTGAGTTGTTGGCTAGTTTCATTTCCTCTATGCACACAACAAATATTTTGAATCTGATAGACATGGAAAGAAGCTTCATCTTAATGAAGAATT